AAAAAGGAAAAGTTTTAACAAAAACATTCAGGCTGTTTACATAATGACTTTAAAATGACGCAAGTATTAAGAAATGGACATCTGCTCTCTAGTTTTTACATCTAATATTTTGGAAACACTTGCTTGAAAGTTTGAAGGTATAGGTTTTATTTTAAAGGCATCGCAATGTATAAATCATTTTATGAAAAGAGAGCATCGTATATATCAGTTCTGCACTTGCAGGGAAGCTACAATTCAAAATGTATTTCTGTATAATGAGAATGTTGATTAAATGCCGTTTAAAAACTCATTAGAGACAACAAGATATTAAACTGGCATATCTAACAAACGAGCAGCTCATTAACAACTACCTATAGCTCTAGCATAGCGGGAAGACTGGATGTCAACAATAGCTCATGACGCTGTCATTTAACATGCAAATATTAGAAATACATCAACCAATAGTAAAACTTGACGGCACCTGTCCTCTTGACAATACTTGAAATAAACTGCAGAACTCTTTGTAATAGCTTTGCCGTTACAATGAACTTTGAAACATCACTTTCTTTCACCTAATTTCGCTAATAGTCTTATTTTGGACCTTGAAAATTTTATGAAAAATTTCAGTAATCAATATAGTTCTTTACTTTAGTTAAATTGCAGAAAAACACAAAATTTCTACTTAAAATCAGTTGTGCATGACGCGAAGACAAGATTCTAATAAACCAGCTGAGACACCTCGAAAATTGCCGAAAATAAACATTTTCCGAGACGAATATCAGCATGAATGTTTATTTGGTAAATTTTCAAACTCAGCTTGGCCAAAAAAAGGTAATTATCGCTTTATTTGATGCGAAATTCCCGCGTATTCATTTATAGCATATTGCGTTGTGGTACTGCATGATTTGATCCGCATTTCCAAAGTCCAGTGAGGAAAAATCCAGTGACGTGCGCGCCTTACCGTGCATGAGATGCATATATAGGCTACAGCCATAAGACATATAATCTTTCAATTTCCGTTTACAATTGAGATCTAGTTAATGTAAAAGCAAAACCTTCCTTGCCTTTATTAACCAAACTTTAAACAAATATGATTAAAAATTGGAACGCGCGGGATCAAGACTGGTCATTAAAGGACAGAGATGGAGAAGCAGAAGATATGTCAATGCATGTATGTAGACGTGTCCTTTAATTATCACTCTAAAATCTATGTCGGTTTTTGTACACAAATGTTTGTAATTGCAAGGAATTTTATCTCAACCGGCTTATTAATAAAAATATTCAAATCTATACAGGAAAAGTCGGCGTATAATGACTCGACAAGGGGACTTTTTGAAATGAAAGTATAAATTAGATCCAATTATGTTGAGCTTGGCAGAATATATAATATAAGCCTGAAAGTTGTATTGTAATTAGCAATCGTTTGAAGGCAGGTGAAATTCGAAGCGGTAAAATGAACATGCTTTGTTGTGATAATCACCAACTGACTGTTTCTCAAAGAAATATCCTACGAATTTTAATATCCTGAACTGATGACGTTGAGACTGTTTTAAGATCAAGTAACAATATACAACTGCATCTATTTGAGGCATGCATGTTTTCACTTCAGTGTGGATATATAAGTAAGCAGTGTGTCACTGAAGAAGAATATATTTATATATATATATATGCGTAAAGCTTCAGATGTATGGGCGATTAAATACATATAGTTGTAGGAAACAATTTGTTTTTAAAGTATACGATATTTCATGAAGTCTCTGTCGGCTCCCAGCATGCATGATCATGCAGGACAAGTTTTGGGCATAAACTTACATTGATATTGCACGCTGATGTAAAATTTTCTTTTACCGATCTAATTCAAATGAAGTATAAAAATCAGTGTATAAGAAATAGCTTTTATGGTCAAACTAGGAACAATTCGCTATAAAAGCGGGATGGGGATAAAGATGTGTGTAGCTGCCAACTTTGACTTCCCGTTATAGTGGAGTAAGAGTTAGAAAACGAGTCTAATAACTCGCGACCTCGCGGTTAATGCGGTCGACCTATGAGTATTGGAATTGTATATATATATATATATATATATATATATATATATATATATATATATATATATATATATATATATATATAGTCTTCCTTTCCCCCAACAGTTAAACATATTTTGATAACCGCTTTATAGTCAATGAATACATGGGAGTTTTGGCTGTTGAAGTTAAAGTTGCACCTGTGCCTTTTTAGCAGTTTTTAATTAAAGATAATTTGAAAACGATTAAAATTAAAAAGTAAAAAAGTGTCGTCTTACATGCATGCTTCAATATTTAACCAATAAATCCAACGCTGTATGATGTAAATATATATATTTGTTAATAAAGGAAACATTTGCCGGGTCATGCAACATGTTTTCACAACAGCTCGAAATTTCTTTCTCTTTCAACCAGGAAATCTCTTCAACATAATTATATACGTGCACAATATTTTTCTTAGGCGAACTGCACACTGCATGCATGAATCACAACAATATATATATATATATATAGCTATATATATCCCGGCTGCACTGTGCCCCTGTTCACGTGCATGTGCTGTGCGCTTGCATGGCTTTGTTGTAACACATATTAGACCTCATTGAAATCTGTGTGAGCCTGCATGTGAGGGCAGTATACTGCATGTTCCTGCATGCGACTTCAGTGATGTTGTTATAATATATAAATGATAAGTTGTTGATCGTTTAAACAAAACATTAATTGAATGCATATATAATCATGCATGCATCTATATATTGCTTCTTCAAAATAATTTTCCATATGAGTATTCAAACCTGATATAGCCTATGAAGTATTACTGCATGAACATGCATGCACCTCAGTCGGAGTATTCCAAATTCAGTGCTAAAGCACAATCGAAGTATATACCAACATATACAGGTATATATATGGATATCGATATCATTTTCTTCTATAATTGGAAGTTAGCTATACAAAAATTTTTCGTTTATGACAGCATGCTAGGCATTTCTTTTATTTGAGAAAATATTCTTGGACTTAGCTGCTTGTTGGCGTGAAATCACTGGCTATTTTATATGCATGCAAGAATTATAACAATTAAAATAACCTTGCTAAAGTATTCATTTTCTGGCTCTGTTAAATTTACGGTAGCTGCCTTAGCCAGTAACTTAACATTTTTCCCCATGCCAATATTATACCTAAATATATTTCAAAATTAAGTCTGCTAACAATTGTATAGTTGTTCATTAAGTTTTTCTTAATAATCTTATGGGCAAATAATTTTGCCGGAAATTTGACCGAATCATCCATATAAATAATTCTTAAACTTAATGAAACATAATAATATAGTGGCCTTAATGAAACATTTCCTCTTTATTACTTATTAAATAATTTAAATTACCGATACAGCAATAAAATATTGGTTAGTATGTGTAATAAATCAGTTAAACGAACGGAATCATTGACACCAAAGAATTAAAAGCGGTTACTCTTTCATCCCAGCATGCATAATATTAATTGGAAAAATGTTCATATATATATATTCATATGAGTATACGCGAAGCAATATTTTTATATCTTCTCTATCTGTAGTATGGTATTGCGCACTCTCTAGTATTTCGTAATCCAAAGGACATTTATATTTACCATATATTATATAGCTATATATACAGCTATATTATATATTATTAAACTCTTCTAAAAAAATAAAAGAGACGGTCGCCAAAAAGCTGCACCTTCACACACCCTATTATAATATTGACGGGTAATATCTTTTTGAATACGTTTTCATTCTTAATGGTGTACAAATTGTAATAAGCATGATATGTGTAATGATATATATAACTGATGCATTTATTTTACACAAAAAACTGCCTCTTGTGAAATTATGCCCCAGCTAAATATCGAATTATGTTTTAAAAACAACTTAACGTATAAAGGTAATCACGGTTACACGAAACAACTTTCAACATCAACTCGCAACACAATGCAACAATAAGCGATTGGTTCATTAATCAATCTCCGATGCCATGCAAACCGACTTGTCAGACTGTAGCTTCTGTTGTTCTACCACAGGAGTTGATAGTTTATAGTTCTGAATTTTAACTCTTTAATTGTTGAACATATATATAGTTTCTCGTCTTAGTATTCGCGGTTGTAAAAGAGTGTCAATTACTTATAAGATTACGTAAGATGAGGCCTGGACTTCAAAAGGACCGCGATTTTTTGAGCTGATTTGTTTTTGTGTTCGTTACTTTTAAATTTAAAAGAGATGATGTGAGTAGTGGACTATAGTGGTAGTGCGTGGTTGACGACCTTACTTAGTTAGTTTCCTGTAAGAAATGATTTAGCTAAACAAGCCTAGTATTTAACTACTTTAACAGAAGTCAAATAGATTCGTATATAATAACGTTACGTTACATAAGAAAAAAATATAGATTTATACTAATCAGTAAATAGTTAATTGAACGAAACAACTATCTGCCTAACTATATTGCCATTGACCTATAAAGTAACAATCTGAGCCAATTATCTGATGAACCAGCCACTCTATCTAAATGAATATCTGACTGGCTTACCATCTTACAAACCATTATTATCTGCTAATAAACCAACCATTTTAGTAACCAAATTTGACTAATTAACTAATCCACCTAACCATAATTAAGGTGGCTCGATACAGTTTTCAAAAATTCCATCGTTCATCACTTTGACACGTTCAAACAACGCCTTTTACGATTTATTCTAGCGATATATTGGGGGTTTTATATATTTTGGTGTCTCTACTTTTGAATCGTATTAGTTTTAGTAACAAATTGTCCAAAATGACCTAGTGCCTCGGATAGTTGGAAAAGAAGCACGGTGACCCCAATTTTTTTTCGTGCATTATTTTATTTGGAAGAAAAACTAACAATTAGCAAAATATAAGTAAAGCTTGGTTTTAGCACGAAGTTCTGATTGTTATTACACTTTATGCAAAATAACCGTAATCATTGCTGTTTAGTCTCTTTTTCTGCCGACACCCAACGTCAGTTTGGTGGATAGAAGCGGTCCTAATGATGGAAACGAGTGAAAACTGGTGAAGACTAATTTTCAATATGGCGGACGAAACGTGACTTGGTTAGATATTTATGGTTTCATTCAAATTATTGTTTTTCGATACGTAAACATACAGTGTTGCGATGTTTAAAGGTGTGTATGGACATTGGTTTACAAAATATAGTTGGATGATCTCGAATTATCAGGTATAAATCTGATATTAATTACGTGTTAACATGTTTCAACTTTCAATGACATGCTTTTGAGACGTACATTAATATTAAACATTATCCCGTTTGAATAATACCGAAATTGTATTTATTCTTAGGTGCTGAAGCGAAGTCTATTTCGCCCAAGTCAAATACAATCGATTCGGAATAGTCGATTACTTCAAGAGCAGGATTCGCATGATGTCAGTGATGGTAAGCCTATTTGTGTTTAATACTTTCAAAAGTGTACCATGAATTGACATCTTAGAAAAATTGGGTGGCTTATATAGTAATTAAATATACATTACGATAAAAATGAATGAATGAATAAAATTTTATTTAGTCAGGGTAACCCAATCAGTGGAATCCACTGTTATCCTTAAGGGCCCTGATGCACATATTTTACAAATGTAGTATATAAATACACACTTAAATTAACTATGCACACTGTATAGATTATACGTACCTTACAAAGGCTTACATGTTATACAAAGCATTGAGACTATAAATATTATAACAGTTATAATGCTATACATATTATAATTATACATATTATAACAGCTGATAGCTGATACTCATGCTGGGCATAACCAGATATTTTGATCAAAAATATGAAATTATATTAACACGCTTTGTTGCTGTTCGGCACAAAAATGCTTAATAAACAATACTTAGTCTTTGGCACGCAAGTTTACTGTTGTATTGCATACTTGTGTGAAGGTCTGATGAAGAGTTTGAAAGCATATATAGATTTTCCATGAAATTTTTCAACAGAATTAGCTAGCTGTGGTATTTTTAGTTTGTTTATTTTTGAAAATGAACCCAGAGCAGAAATTGTGATTTCATACACTGTCACTGCACTATGCTTATAAACTCCAAAATATGATTTGATGAGCTCTACTTATAGTGTGGAGTTTCATGTTGATGATAGGGTTGTCTTCCTAAACCCAAAGCATGATCAGCCACTTTGTCTGGCTAAATCACTGTATACATGCTAACTAGTGCAATAATTGTGAATATCTTTTAAGGATTCAACAGACTGTTCCAACCTGTAGCTGTGTATCACACATCAAACGTCACGTAATTTCAATATACATTGAAATACTCACTTAACCAAGCCATGCACACTTAACCTAGTTATATCTCTGTTTTGTAGATATCACAACAGTTGAAAAGTTTAATTCAAAAAGACAATATGAAAATAGGGATTCTTTATGTGTTGCTCAGGTGATATCATTCCCCCATTCTACAGCTATTGGGCATGTACAATTGAATGACTTTGTTTTTGGTACAAATCCAAGGTACGTACATTATACACACGTGATATCATGACTTCGCTAATGCTGCTTAACAAAGTGCTTAAAATTTTGAATTTTTCTAAATTCTATGGTCTGTACCTGACCACAATTTTGTGTTTGAATGACTAAGTGAACTTAAAGACTGCACAACTGGCATCAATGTCTTCCTTAGTTCATTTTGTTACTCAATATTTTTAGACTTGACATACTTCATCGAGTTGTGGTATGGCAGAGAGCAAATGCAAGGGCTGTAAGTATTTTATTTCAAAACACTCAAGCCACTTAAATCGTATTAGCCATGGTAACTATAGGCAAGCTTAAATCATAACTTAAAGTTTTGCATAAAAATAAAGTATTATGAAATTTTTAAGGACTGAAATTTTAGCAAAAGGGTAAGTAAAACCCTTGGTATTTATTGGAGGTGATTTCCTCTGGAGTTTATATTCTTGAAATAAGGGGAGTGTTAAAATAAGTATTACTTGTCATACACCACTATTCCAAAGCTTTTTGATCATACAACCCAACAACAGGGGACGGCATGCGTTAAAGATCGTAGCGAAGTTCGAGGAGGTGGAAGAAAGCCTTGGCCTCAAAAAGGGTTAGGAAAAGCAAGACAAGGGAGCATAAGAGCTCCACAGTGGAGGGGAGGTATGGTGAAATAAAATGTATGCATTGGAAGAAACTGATAAATTATTTGTAATTGCAATTTTGAGTCTAAAAAATTTTGGGGAGTTGTTTTGATTATTTTGATTTAGCGAACCTTAATGGACAATAATTCGTCTTAATCTGTCTCAAAGCATTTCCATGCTATTTTCAAAGGTGGTGTTGTTCATGGACCAAAACCTAAGAGTTTTTCTTACACTTTACCGAAGAAAGTGCGAAGAATGGGTCTAAGAGTTGCGTTAACATGCAGATTTAGACAGGTGGGTTAGTATGCGGTGTGTGCAGTGTAGGTATCTGAAACCAACCCTTTATCACTCTGATCAGATTTTTTTTGTCTTTCCAGGGTGATTTGTTTGTGGTGGACTCACTTAGTTGCAATTCGTTATCAAATAACGTGAGTATTTAAAGTCAATCGTTATACCAATACGTCCATTTTAAAACTCCACTCTACGAAATAAGTCCACAGTTTTTCGTTTCTGTCACCGAAGACCAACAAAATGTAATATTGTCCTAAACATTGGGGTACGTAGAGACATCAGAGCGTGTTGTATTTAGAAGATGTGTTTATTTAGAGTTTTCTTAAAACGATTATTTTAATTCTTGCTTTATTCCCCTTTACACCAATTTCAGTAGATAAGTACTTCAATGTTACGTGCTGTGCTGTGCTGTGGTAACGTTATTGCACAACATTGCATGAAAGAATTAATTCAAATGTCGTGCAAATCTTCAGAGAATGTGCAACCTAAAAGATTTTTCAAGAACAGGAGTCTGAAGTTCTCCCTTTTGTGCTATATATTTTATTTTGAGACCCTTTTTATTTTCATACTCTTTCAGGAAATTGCAAATATTTTTGATAAAAACAATTGGAATTCTGTTCTGGTAGTTGACAGGTAACTTCCGACCTCAAAAGAATTACTAGTGGTGGATTTTTGTGCTTTTTCTCCATGAGCACAATATTTAGCAAGTATAATTGCCCATTGCTATACTTATAAGAAGCTACCATTTCCTGTCAGTGCAGTGCAGTGAAATGCGTGGATCCACCTGACAATGTGTATTCAATAACTCGACTATATCACTATGAATACTTCTTGTGTTTAGTGAACCAAATGAAAATCTTCGGCATGCCGTTGAATCTTTTGGGAAAGCAGAAATGCACAACACAATTAGTAAGTAGACGAATTCTGATTTTATCATGCACATTATCATGTATACGGGAGTATTTTTTGTATCCGGGTAAGTTCAATTGAAAATTCTATAGTATATTAGGTTAGAGTTAGGATGAAATTCGTTGTACATGAAATCCAAAATTTGATCATAAAATCATAAAATCTGAAATTTTGTACATAAAATCTAACAGTGTCCTGGGCCAAACTCAACTGCGATAAATGAATACAATAACCTAGTACATCTCAATCAACACTAGGAGTTTTTATAAATTTTTTTACACCACACTCAATTTATTGGCACGGTACCGGCCTAAATTGGTACACGAGAATGTTTGAAAAACATCGCCTGTTAACTTCGTTTCATCGTGTTTTCTATTTCAAAGATGATTTCGTCATTTCGGTGCTCGGTGTTTTTTACCAAACGATCGTGCTCTTCTTGAAGCTCTGGTTCTACTTGAGATCTATTGTAGAGTGTAATGGCGTATTTGCTCCCCCTGCTCCCCCTGCCCCTCCCAGGTGAAAAATAGGGGGGGAACGCCCTGAGCATGTGCATAAAAGGGTGATGAACGGTCAAGCATTCTCAGGATGGCGACTTTGTCTAATTGTTTTAACAATTTTTGGTTTAGGTCTGAATGTTTACAGCATTCTTAATCATGATAAAATTGTTCTGTCACTAAATGCTATTGAACAATTGGAAGAGCGACTATGTAAAGATAATCGACCTATTTGGAGATGACATCGTTACAAATATTTTGTCTGTCAACTGTTGTTAAAAAACATTGCCCCGAATGAGAATTTCCACGGAAAGAACTTACTTCTGTAAGAGGAGCCGGTAAATGGCTGTAATCCAGCAATTTGAGAGTGTCTCTGCTTTTATGATGACATGAAAGAATCCACTTGTAAAACGTTAATGATTTGTAATATTATAATTTGTTGTTGCTCTTCAGCATATTAATGTTACCACTGAAGTAGCAATAATACATAACCTGTTGTGACTCACGGTACTTTAATTACTTAACTAAATCAAGTATATGGGAGGTAATATTGGTACAAGAAAAAACACATAGCTCATAACTCTTGGAAAAACTAAGACATTGATTTCGAAACATTACAAGCAAGTCCTCAATGAAGTTATTTTATAGGCGATAATGGAAGAACAATGTTCAATCACTTCAATGAGCTGGCTAAGTCGTATTACTCGTATAACAGCCGCAACTGCGCAACCTCGTACCCAGGTCCTTCTCTTAGGGTGGGAGAGAAGATTAAGAGATGCTTTGCGATGGTTGCAGATACATGGTTGCTTTTGTGTTTTAATACACGGTGTAAGGAATGGATAGATTTTCTTGGATATCAAGTAATACTCCACTAAACACAGGAGAAGAACTTGTTATACAACAACGTGGCTTACGAATTTATGACGGAGAAAACAAGGTAAAAAATATGCCATAATTTAATAGGTTCACTAGAGTACACTACTGGTTTAGGGAGTGCTACACGCGTAAAAATCATCATGTTGATGCATTTTGTTAAAAACAGGAGTGAACAAATTATGTTGTGCTGCACCCTGTGAACAGTATTGTTTACAATGTTGTTGAAGCTTGTTGAATCATCAATGTTGTTGCAACTTGTTACAACAACATTGCATCGTGATTGCAACAACATTGATGATTCAACAAGCTTCAACAACATTGTTAACAATACTGTTCACAGGATGTAGCACAGCATTTTTCACCCCTGATGCGACAACCTGATCAATCTTTGGCTGTGTAGGTTACAAGTGTTTTCTAGATGACCAGCACTTACTAGATGACTGGAGCTTTCTCAATGACTACAGTATAAGGTTTTACAATTGAGAAAAATTTCTTTCAAAATGACCACCGCTGATGAGGATCAGTTTTATGCATTCTTTTCGATTTTAGTTCTTTGTCTCTCCCCTCGGTCATTATACAGTTGCTGCAATAGAAGTGTTCGGAAAAATATTTAATCCTATTGGATAATGACTAAGTAGACGCATATGATTAGTCAATTCGAAAAGGAAGTTAGGAATTTTTCAAACATTTCATGAATTTCGTAAGCCAACTGATAAATCTGAGCAAATGCATTACTCAATATTTTTTAGAACACTTCTATTGCTACGACTGTAAAAGTAATTTCAAATTAATACTATAGCATTAAATGTGGTATAACAACTGCCTAAAATAAACAAAACACTTCTTGATGTTTCGAGTTGAGCGCCTTCATCAGGAGAGTTAGTATGGTCCATACTAATTACTGGTCCAACTTAGTAAGGTACATACTAACTGAAAAAGGCCCTCAGGTCGAAATGTTGAGAAGTGTTTTGTCTATTTTAGGCAGTTGTTATACCACATTTGATGCTAAGTTGTTTGAAGACGGTGCCACGCTGCTCCCTGGTTATACATTGGAACGTATCAAATTAATAATACTTCACATTTTTTAAGAATTACATAAAGTTTACTTGTAAATTTAACTCTGATAATCTTCAGGGCTTATTGCAAATGAAGTATAACTGTTTCTCTCTTAAATATTTTAGACAAATTTTGATAATGGGAACTTAATATTGACTTCATTTTCTTTAATATGGGAAGATGAAGAGCAACAGGTAAATTGATTTTAAATTAAATCAGTATTTTTCTGCTCTTTTGAACTTTTGTTTGCATTATTTTACGACTATAGGATCGGAGAATTCAATTGTATCTTGAATTAATTATAAGAATAGAAGAACAAGCAGCTGGGTTCATGAAAAGGTAACAACAATTGATTTCTAAGTACATAAAGTACTTCTTGAAAATTTTCATGGCTGAAGATGTTATCTCTACAAGGTACATAAATTCATTTCTGTATAACTTTCTGTCTTATAAAGTTATTTCCATCTCACCTGGGCAATACCTTATAGGAAAGAAATTTTTCATGGTTATATCTCAAACAATAAATAATATATATATGTTATAGTAAATCTTTTTCAACAAAATATATTATTTTTAGTGCCAAATTATTGTTACATTTACATTCACCGCCAGCCACAAAAGATCCCGGTCCATTTAATTCAAGTTCATTTACTTACATAAAATTATCATTTCGCTCTGGTGGTCACATTGAGGTATTTTTTAATAAGAAATATGATCATGGTTGATTGATTATGATAAGTGTTTAAATGTGCCCAAAAGATATCTGGATCTTCTGAGGCTTGAAGGATTATGTCAGCTGAAAAGCTGTTCTGTCAATTATAATAAACCAGCCTTTTTCCTTCTATATTTTGTGCATAAAAATATTTTATTCCCGACTGTTTTCTATACATTTAGTTCCACAAATTATTAAAACAACAGTTGCAGAAAAAGGCTTGGATACAACGGAAGCCAAAAGAGAATGCTCCTTCCAAAGTAAGTTGTAAATATTATTTATATTTTTGTCTTTTTCATGGGGTATAAACAACTTTCTTCATAAAGCACTCAAGCATTGCATTTTGCTTATATTGATATCAGTTATAAAGTTGTATTCAAGACGTGTTCTATTTGCATTCGTAGTAACGGAAGCCTTATATATACATCCGTGTACTGTTAGAAAATTTAGAAAATTTATTAGAGAAAAGAGACACTGGCAGTCATGAGACTGAATTATGTGTCTTTTACATACAAATATATACGATAATTTAAAATACATAATAAAATAAGGAACAATATATATTTACAACTTATTAGACCTTTTTAGTCAAAGTCACAATTATGTGTTCTTTAGATTAGATATATACAATCATTTAAAATTGAAAACAATACATATATACAACTTGTTATCAATTAGCAAAATTTGCTTCAGTACTAAAACTCATTATAAAAGAGTTTTTGAAACGATCTGTTCGGCATTGTGGCGTGTTAAAAGTTCTATTATTTCTCAGAAAACCATTACAGCTATTACGAGGGGGAAGTAAACCAGCAAGTTTATGGTTTCCATTGACAACAATATCTTTAAAAAGACTTTGTGATAGCATTTCTCGCCTGTCAAAGAGGGTGGGAATAAATGCCTCTTTCAGTGCTTCATTATAACTTTGATGAGGGAAAATAATCCGCAATGCACGCTTCTGAATGCGTTCAAGATCATTCGAGAGGTAATTGGGGAGATTTCTATGAAACAATTGACAGCAATATTCCAGTACTGATCGGACAACACTACAATAAAAGGCTTTCATATCATCAACACTGAGTCCCGCTCTTTTAAGTTGTCTTAAGAGATATAGGCGCTTTGAGGCCTTGGCAGTTATGGTTTTAACATGATCTATCCACTTAAAATCGTCACGAATAGTAACACCGAGAAGTCTTGCAGTACTAACTTTATCAAATTTTATCCCATCTATCTCAATTGGAACGAAAGATGGAGGGATTCTCTTAAAACATGATTGGATTTCTTTACATTTGGTAGGTTTAAGTTGTAGATGGTTCTCTTTAGACCACAAGTTAACATAATCAACAGCGTCCTGAATGGAACTTTCATTAGATTGGGTAATCACTTCGGATAATGTGATATCGTCAGCGAACTTCCACATTTGGGAGATCTGATCTGGTAATCGTAGATCGTTAATTAGAATAAGAAAGAGCCATGGACCAAGACGAGTACCCTGGGGAACTCCAGCGTGGACATCAACCCAGTTGGAAAAAGTACCATCATATTTAACCCTCTGCTGCCGATGACGTAAAAAATCAATATCCAATTAACGATGGTTGCTTTACTCCTATGCTGAATAGTTTAGCGATCAGTATATGATGGTCTACTAGGTCAAAGGCTTTCCGAAAATCTAAGAGAACAGTTCTTATTGTGGACGATGTCCCATCAGTGGCAGATAACCAATGATGAAACATATCGATTAGTGCCATAGTTGTCGATGAATGGGATAAATCCAAACGTGGGATCAACAATAGACAACATAACCGGTTTTAAAGCCATATCAATCACAAAGCTTTCTGCAACTTTCGACAGAGTCGACGTAAGAGAAATTGGTCTGATGTCGTTGTTAAATCACAAATGAGAGACGACTTTGGCAGAGGACAAACATCTGCGAGTTTCCAAACGTTAGGCACTCTACATTCGGTAAATGAGGTGTTCAATATATCAGTAATAGGACTTGCGATAATGTCCGAGAACGTTTTGAGCACCCAATTTGGAAGGTTATCAGGTCCACTGGCGCGAGATATCTTAATCGCTCTTAGTTTCCTTGCTACAGATTCTTCGGTAACATACAAAGGTTCATCATCAACCGCATCCACGCATGTATAATCTGTCAGAGGCGAGTAATCATTCATTACGCTGATAAACGCTTTGTTTATGTTATTCGTAAGAGTAAAATCATCACACACAAGATCAGGGTGTAAAAGGGATCTTAGGTCACGACGAGTGTTTTTATTAATCCCACAAAGATTTTTGACCTCTCTCCACCAATCTCTGGGCGTAGAGTCCTTCATTTGACCAATTTTACTTTCATAATAGGTTTTCCTACAATGTTTACATTCCCGATTAACTTCATAATAGGTTTTCCTACAATGTTTACATTCCCGATTAACTCCTACAATGTTTACATTCCCGATTAACTTTATTTCTGTATATACCAATTAATCACTGGTTCAAACTATGACCAGCAGGCAGCAGAGCATATACTTCACAATGTAATAGGTAATGAAATGGTATATTTACAGTACAATTCTCGGCTCAGCTAATGGACAAATCTTACCGTAGCTTTTCTTCACAACTGTCACAGATTCAAATTATTTTTATCGAAGTCCGGGTGCAAATTTTCCTTCTCTTTTACGACGACCTCAAATGATCCAAAGGGAAACTGCAACAACAGTTCGGCTAAAACGTCCTATTAATGTTAACTTACTTACGTTGTGATCATTTCTCCAAATTTCAAAAAATGTAAACTTCGATTAATTTTAGATATAGCTATATTTCATTGTATTTGACCGCACGATGCTGTATTTCGGTATAGAGTTTTGTCGTACGCTTGACAATTTTCATCACTACGGTCTTACCTGTGATTGTATTTGCAGATTTATTCGTGGTAATGTTGGGCATTTTAAAAGTTGCTTGTGCGAGATTTTGTTTTTTCCTATGCAGGGCTTAATACTATGAAGTAGTTTGTTTCATAAGTCCCACTGCTCATCATATTAACATATCTTTTTTTAGATTACTATAAATATGTCATTGCGGTCGTGTTTCAAAAGATTATGGGTTTTTGCAGGTCCATAGACGAGGTCCTGGGATTGTTGGAATTGAACGAAATTTAGAAGAAAAATCGCGTGCAACAGACAAAACTATCAGTCAGGTACATTTTCTCCAAAAAAGTATATCAGTTATACACTTGTTTAAAGGAGACTGAAACCTTTGCCTGGAAAGGAATTTAAACTCTTATAGTATATGAAAGATAATAATGCGTGAAAAGCTTTTGTTTGTCCTTCTATTATATGTGTGGTTTTTGTGTTCGGTATTATAATTGAAATATGCACTAGTTGATCAACTTGGCATTTAGGCATTTAAAGATCTGGACGGTTTAATGGAAAAGGTATGTTTGATAAAAAAAAAGATAATGGCGAGTCGACCATTCAGTGGCGTAGCCAGCCCGACAATTTGGTCATGCTATTCTAATATTTTAGTGTTTATTGACTGTGAAAACAATGAAATTCTAAAGAAACGAATGATGAATGATAATAACATCAAATTTGCATAGCAGGACTAAATCTTCAGGCTGGCTATACGACACTGCGACCATTTAAATTTTTTTGTTGGCTTTTTTGTATTATCAAGGAATAGCAGCAGTGTTGTGGTAAATATTTTTTCTATTTTTTACCCTATATTCCCCTCCACTCCTCTCTTCCACTTTTCAGAACTCTTTTACTCCTCTCGACTATATAAAACTTCAATTTAAATTGTGAGCTGTATAGTTGGATCTTTTAGGCCAAAGAGATGGTTGCTTTAGCAGATAAGTTTGCATCAAAAATAGAAGAAAAGAAAGGAAGCATAACTGAAGATGAAGTAAGCGAGAACTTTTATTTCAAATTGCTTGATAGTCTTTCAAAACACGTATATTTATAAATAAATTGGAAAATGTACACTGTATTAAATACAAAGTTTTAAAAAATAAGTTAGTTAACATGTAGGAATGATCTTTTTTAGACTATTTTATTCAAATCCTATCTTCTTAGTGTTGGAATTTCAAACCCTGTAACCAGGTTAGTTCTGTCTGACTAAGAGGCCAGAGAAGTTCAGTGGAAGGCTAAAAGCATATCAATCCGAGTCCAAAAAAATTAGCTGTACTGGTATTATAATAATTTGAAAAGTTTTTTGAAAAACAAAGAATTGGAAAATATTTACTGATTGCATTGGCTAAAATAGATTTCAATCTTGCAAATGATTTACTCTAGTCTATTATAATAAGATTCACCGTAATGCCCACTGGCGGATCTAGGGTTATAGTCACAATAAATTATATATGGCCTAAATTTAAAACAGCTTAATAACAACTCTGTTGGTTATGTATTTCAAAAGAATATTTTTAAAACCTAATAATTCGATCGCGAATTCAATCTGCAGTACTTAATTTATTCTGCTTAACCTGGATTGATCTGAAGTTACAGATGTGATACGTTCACGGCAACCAGTACATAATCCATCGCTATTATCTTTACTCTGGTTTAAAATAATGTTTAATCATTTATCATTATAGAGAAACCCATGGTACCGGGACAACATACCATAATGAATTGGCAAAGCAACTAGAAATCTTTTTGAGAGAGCAATTGAAGGTTTGTCGTGTACGAGCACTAGCCCATTCTAATATTTTTAGCCCTAACGTTTAACCCACCTAACAATGCTGTAAAAAATGGTGAAGTCTTTCTTTCTGGCTGAGGTCAAGGTTTTTATGAAAACTATAGTGATTCCGAAAACTGGTTTGAAAATGTTTATGTTTCTTAAGATTTCCAAGATCATTGGGGGACGCGTATACACACTATTTAGTGGGTTATCATGCACTACCATGCAGCCAGCAATTTAGCACCCATGCTTCCTTGCTGCATTGGTAGTGGAAATCAAATCTGGTACCTGCATGCCTATACGGGTATTGTGACACATTGATGAAGATTATTTTCTACATAATTGCTTTAATAATTTTGTTAGGAAGCTGGTGGTATGATGACGTTGACAGACGTATATTGTAGATTTAACCGTGCACGAGGAATGGAGGTGATTTTTTTTAGTAAAAAAATACAATGGGTTTACGTGTAGCTGAAACTTCTAAATTGAAGTGTACCAATTTGTTAAATATTGTGATGTTACATATTGTGATGTTTCAGCTAGTTTCTCCTGAAGATTTGGTTAATGCATCACGACAGTTTGAGTCTCTTAAACTTCCATTGAGGTAACAACTGAAACAATTAAAAATAGTCCGAAATCTTCCATTCTTTTTAATGTATCCGGCAAATTTGAACTATAGATAAGCGCAAGCCCTCCCCGCAAGCAAGCATGCGAGTGCATGTTTTATTAGTTGAAAAGAGCTTTCTTAAAATTTTCTACAGACTGCGCTCATTCGACAGTGGCGTGTTGGTTATTCAGTCTTCAAATCATAGTGACGAAGAAGTTATTAGAGACACAAGGGATAAAGTATGTCAGTTTACTTTAACTTTCTGTCTACTCTAATTTTCTGTCCATCACTGCAACAGCGACACGTTGTTTAAAAAGTTATATTCAGTTTACTAGATCTAATGAAACATCTGCCCATCCATGCATTGTCATACAAAATTACTATTAAGTGTATATTATTAGATTTGCTTTTTGCTCTTCATTTTTAGTTATTTTCTAATAAGTGCTTGACAGCAGATGAACTCTCGAAAATTCTTGGTTTGTCAGTCATGCTTGCTAAGGAAAGGTGATGATGTACTTGTATATATATTGAATATTTTCGCATGCAATTGTTGACCAAATTTAAAAGCATTTAAAATCTGTAAAAATCTCCGTGTGTGTACGTGGGTAAGATAAACACGTAATGTAATGTAAAATGACAGTACGTAACTGAAACTGAGCAGCCCTTAGAATTTTTTGTGTGTTTTTTATACAATTGTTCTCAGTTACTGAAAACTCACTTATGTATCGCTTATAATAGCTAAACGTTTTACTGTTTTCTTATAGGTTGCTTGTTACAGAGAAAGTAGGCAAAGCATGTCGAGATGATTCTGTGGAAGGTTTAAAGTTTTATCCCAACTTCTTTCTTGAAACACCCGTTGAATAAAACCCCGACAACAAAATCATCCACCTTAATGCTTACAAAAACTATAGTGCAGTTACAATTGATTTGTTCACTGGTTTGGATGCATTTGACTGGCCAGTCTTAATGGAAAGAAAAGAAGGAAAGAACTTTTCAACCACCGGACCACCAGTGTCGGTGCCAAATAATTCGTGTTTGACGTAATATAATGTTAAAAGATTTGCTGAGAAGAACTATATTTTGTTGCAATAGTGTTACTTTAGTCGATATCTATAGATCTTAATTCAGAATTAATCAACTTTCACCTTACAGTTTTGAAAGTCTTCTGTTTCATCGATATCTCGTGCTGTGTACGTCGGGAATATTCCCTAGGGACACAACATTTGTATTTGGAGGGATAATAGGGGATAAAAGTGCGCCTGATATGGTAATCCCCACTGAGCTATATAGGCCATAATTCCCGAATAATTGGAAATTATATGATATAGCTCTCCTTCAGTCAAAACCAAGTTAAAATGATTGTATTCTTGTGTTACTGATTTCTGGTCCGTCAAACCTAGCTTTTTAACTTTGATAGCCTGAATCTCTCCAACAGAAAATGAGTTGTTGGGTTGGTTCTTTATCACTTTCGTTGTAGTTTCTGTTTCTTACTGTTTACAGACTGACAGTGACTGATGTCTTCTGTACGTTGGGCATTTTGTACCAAAAAGTGGATTCCTACAAAATCGGTCAGTATGTATTTTTGTAAAAATAGACTCGTAATATAATATAGACTTCAAATATAAATTAAATTATTATACATTAATTATTAATTAATATGAAGCTTTTCATTTTGATAATGCTTTGTATATACTATTTTTCTCTGCTATTTTCCAATATGATATTGTTGGTACAGTAATTTTATTTTTTCCCAAAGGAGTGGTTACATGCATTGGCTTGCATTCAAGATGAAGAAAGAGATCGTGTTATGAAATTTGTTTACAAGAAAGATGCAAAGTCAGCATTGGTATGCATGAAATTTTGCATGTTGTTATACCTAATATTGTAAGGGTTTTATAAGGGTAGTTGATGATGGCTAGTCTCTCCTGGTCTCTATGCCATTTGTAGAATACAGGCACCAATAATGCTGGATTCTGCACCAGGCCTGTATTGTTTGTCCTTTTGATATCCCTATATCACCCACAATCACACCCTGTGATGTAGCCTGATCCACTCAAATGTTATATTTCACCCTCACATATAGTCTTCACATCCACACACCATGCTACCTCGTTTTATTTTCAAATATAATCTACATGGACAGCTAGTAGACCACTACCTTGTTTATATAGTCTTTCACATCCACACACCACGCTACCTTGTTTTGTTCTGACATATGATCTTTCACATTGATACACAACTCAGCATACAGACCTTGCATGCATGATGCTTCCTTGCAGTGTGGTTATCCATGCAACATTTTGCCTATTTTATTAAGATTGGTCGACTGTTGTTGAAAAAAGTTATCGTTGAGAATACCAGTATTCCATATTCTGCTATCAAGCTTGGCAGAACAGAAAGAGGAAAACCTTACTTAGTATGTGATCATAGTATATGTTCTCATATTCAATGAATTTTCAAAAGAAAAAAATTAACAAGCAATTAATAGCATCATTTCTTTTTGTGTGGGAATATATGCATGTAAAAGCAAACGTTTAGCTGTATTATATCAAGGTTTATCAAGATGTTTTAACTGATTTAATTCAAACACTATGTATAGCTGTACTGTAAAAGTGCTGCTTGCCTTTCTAGGAGTTTGTATACTTATTTTCTTAAACATTATATTTCTTTCAGTTACATGCAAAAGAAAGCCTGAACTTCAACATCTCTCATCAGGTATGCAAAATAATTCCAATTACGTACAAATTGCTTTTAATAATCTCTTCAAGATTTTGAATAGATCAATTTTTATTTTTAACAGGGTGATTTTGTTGTTCTAGCTGCGGAATCATCTAGAAATGGTAACTGCACGATTATTTCATATTAACTACAATAAAGACTTACAATCATTTGACATTTCAATTTGCAGCACAATTACCACAACCCAGAATCATTCACATTGATGATAGCATAAGATTAAGCACATTTGATCATATTTTAAATGTTAATTTGCGCTCTATAAATTTTAATTATTATTATAGTCTCTCCCACATTCCAGCCATTTCTCGTATCTATATTTTTTCAAATACTTTTGTATAATTGGGATTGGTCAATACTAGTTTGCATTTTTATAGTTGGAGTTGATGTTATGAAGACAGAGATTAAAGGTTTAAAACTGTCAACATGAAATATTTGTGCCAAAATATTTGCATTTTTAGTTTTTTAGTTACATATTTGCTGTTTTCCATTTACAGGTAATCAAACAATACCGGAATTCTTTCACACAATGAGACGTCAATTTACTCCACATGAGTGGCAAACTATAAAACAAAATCCCTCAGATTTCAAACAGTTGGAAATGTTTATGAGGCATTGGGTGGGTTTTCATTCATCCCTGTTGATGAAGCTACAATATTGGCATGTGGAAGATTGTCAAAAATTATGCCTCCCATTCAATGTTGTCCTTAATTCGACACAGAATGCCTGTGCATCTTTACGAAAGCACAAAAATTAATAGTTGAAGCATTATGAACCGCCATTCAAAGCGGAGGAAGGAAGGGGGTCGGCGAAAGGACAGAGCGGAGGTCAAAGCAATAGTTAGCAAACTAAGAGAATGGTGTCATCGATTCACTATATATACATCAGTGGGTCTAAGGACTTTAGCCTGGATCTCACTTGATCTCACTGGGTTTTTCCTTCTGCGTTCGTGTGTGATTGACACTTTCGTTAATATGTTAGCCACTAGCAACTTACTTGAACAACAAGCCTAAATGATTGATGCATTTTGTGGGATTCCATTCATTGACGCAGGAAATTTTTCTTTTTTTGTAGTGTTTAAAAGAAAGTTACGTGAAAGCTCTTGGTGTTGGTATTGGTTTGTTAAAGAAACTTCAGTTTATGGAATTTCACATCGCACCTCAGTCTACTGAACTGAATGATAGGGTCAGTAGAGTTTACTTACTGTCTTGTAGGTCCGCATAAAAAAATATTTTCCTGAGGTCCTTTTTCCACCAGTCATCGTTCGGTCGTACTATAATTATTTAGTCAAAAATTAAAACTTCTTTAATTTGATTGACTAAAATCACTTCGTTAAAAGTTGGCAAAGAAATTTTTAGGGAAACAAGACTAGGCTTCGCTCGAGCAAAAGAAAGATTACCGGTAGAGTGGTCAGATCACAGTCAGATATCGTAAAATTCTGCCCGCACCTTCAGCTAATCGGCCTATTTGTTTTAAGATATTTTGAAATATGGACTAAATGTATATATCGAAGTTTAATTTACCAAATATCGTCCACTACCACTTTTGGTAAGAAAACTTTGATATATCCTAGCTCTACCTATGATATTGAGCACTGGATACTCAGACTCTCGCCCCTCTTTTCCTAATTTAAACCTACAATTACAACCTCGAATTTACTGTTTGTCAAATACATAGACTCAATTTTATTCATATTTTTATCACATGGGGATCATTGCAATTGGATCGAAATTTTTCCATGTAACTGAATATCCGTAAAATGTCAACCAACGAAACATTTCAAGTCAACAGTGAAGTGCTTTTGAAACTTTTAGGAAGTGGCAATGGATACAAAACTTTTTTTGGAAAGTAAGCCATGTGATGAGTGGTGTTTTCAAGAAACAAAATTAGACGAAGATGTAAGTGCCATATAGATTAAATCTTAAAAAAATGATTTGAGATTAAAATATTTCTCTTATAAATCCTTCTATTAATTAGGAAACTGAAACAAACGTAAAATAAGGTAGTGCATCGTGAAAAAAACAATGCTAAATGAAGGGAGAAGGGGGATCTGCTTTTTTATCACTCGTTAGACTCTCATTAGCTAAGTTTCAGCAGGAAGTTAAAATGGTTTGGAATTTTTCTAAATGACGTTCAGGGTTTAATACACCCACTGGAATCAGAAAATAGCCTGTTCATCAGACTTTGTTAGTAGTGTCTTCTCACGGTATATCTTCACAAAACTAAATCAACCATTATCATCAACAACTCATAAAGTTAACTTGAATTATTTAATAGCGATTAAACGTTCATTCCTAAGTAAACTTCTTTAGAATTAAGTCCTATTATGAGTATTATCGGATGAAAATATAGCCTAATTTATAGTTGTTCTTTGCGCAATTGATTTTTGTATCTTTAGCATCAAGTAGTGGTGGCATTACATCAATCAAATTCACCTCAAGAGAATGAAAATTTGCAGTAAGTCATGTGTGTTATGAAAGTGTAATGATGTTATATACGAAAAATGGATGATTTGAGTCTGGACTAACTGGAGTGTTCCATGTCGAGGGCACTGTTTGCATTGCACTCACTATATCGTCGCAACATAATATGGGCTGATGGGCATAATATACCCGTGTTGTGACTATAAATTGAGTGTAGTTTAAACTTGAAGTCACCGACTGTGGATCCAGCAATCCAAGTTAGTGCAGTTCTTGAAAAGACTATCGTGATCCTGCTTCGTCCTTGGGCGCTTTGGTTCTAAAAAGGTTTTGCTATAGCTAAGTCGCTGTACATAGAAAAGTTTACATAAAGCAATGCCTTGAGTCGAGATGTTGTGAGCATGCAAAAAATATCTTTTAGAAGCAAAGCGTCTGCATGAGTATACGTTTTTCAAATTATTTTAGAAATGGAACATTCATACTGTTAACGATCAAAGATTTACTCCCTCCTTCAATGTCATTTCAAACTGTTAACGAAATATTTTGGAAAGAGTTTATAGAGAAAAGTGAAAGCTCTTGATAAACATGACAAGCATTCTACCATCTTTGCATTAAAGAGTACTCCTAATATGGCGTCTAATACCAATGGACAAAATTAATTTGTGCAGCTTACGTTGCCTTTTCAGTTTCGTGCATTGCAGAAAGGATCATGTAAAGACTAAAGCTATACAGCTTCTGCATTTTATGTGGAATTCTTTAATTGATTCTTCCGCTTCTTTGGCGCATGGTCAACCTTTATTATTATAAACCTGATTGGGTAAAGCAGGCAGTCTGACTGGGGTATTTACAGGATGTAATTAGCGCCAGTGATGGAATACCTGGGAATTTTGAGGGATGTAATTGGTGCCACTATTGAACACCTAGGGATGTTTGAGGATGTAATCAAGTACCATTATGGAACACCTAGGAGATCGGTTTAGAGGATGTAATTGGCACCACTATTGATAACTGGGGATGTTGAGAAGATGTAAATAGTGCCACTGTGAAACATTGGAGGATTCTATTTCCGCCACTATGGAATACATGGGGTTGTTTGGAGGATTTAATTTCCGCCACTATGGAATACATGGGGTTGTTTGGAGGATTTAATTGTTGTCACTATGGGACACCTGCCATATAAAAACAAGGTAAACCTGTATGGAGAGATTCATATTTTTTATGCATGGTTCATATACACTCATTGTTGAATAGATCACATGCTTGATTATACAATTACTTAATGGTTTCCGTGTTTGGATGGCCTGATCCAAACACGCGGGAATGTTGCGAGACTTAAGAAAAGCGCGCGAATTGTTTCATAAAATAGCAACGACAAGGCCTGAATTTAAATTTAAATTCTTTAAAACTTTAAATTTCCGTGTTTGGATGACCTGATCCAAACACGGGATTAGACCAATCAGAACACGTGTTATATACATGTTATTTATAATTGTGTTTGGGTATGTTTTCACTGACTGCTTCAGTTACGCTAGCTTCAAAGGTTATAACTATATATCTTATTTAAACCACGTTATTTTTTATTCTCCATTGCTTCTAAAAGTCTCAGTCGTTTTAACCATTTTCGAATGGTACATTTCTCTTTGATATCATTCTTTAAATAATGATAATTTAGTTTCAAAACTTTTATTTACAAGACTCCCTGCTACCATACATAAAATGTAATATCATACAAAAAAGGTATATCGCTGTTATTATGTTATTTTTCATATATGCATGCTTATCTTCTTTTCTGCCTATTCTTTAACTACCATTTATTCTGACACAATTTTGCTCAATGACATCGTTTTAGAATTACTTCATCATCGAGCTTAATAAAATATTAAATTTATTTCCGGCCTAAGTTTCTTCCACTTGTGTTTCTGTGCTTTTAATTTTTCATTTCATTTTTTACTCCTAATACCGCATTTCGCGTCTACTTATATTTACACACGCATTGCTATTTTTTCCTCCCTCAACTTGATCGAGAAAGCCTCAAGCTTTCGCCTTGTACTGCATTTTTAATCCTTGAAAAGTAATCTTTTGACCATAGCCGCCGACATATAACATGCATTAGCTATAGAAGGAAAAATTCTCCCGATAAAACTGCGTGTCTGACTCGTGGATAAATACGCATTGGAAAAACTGCTTAATACATGCACGTGCAATAAATAATAGGATTTTCAGAACACGTGTTTTTATCCTATTTGTATCATGCATGCGTTCTTCACATTATGCGTATTCCAAACAACGGTTTAAACCTGCACATTTAGTACTGGATATTTTAGTATTTCGCCTGTTCACCCCGTTTAACCTTAGAACAGCTGGTTTCTACAGGGTGTATGAGAAAAAACGCAAACATGATACTGATAGTTCCCAGGGGCCTACGATCTTCTATTATTCGAAAAAAGCAAATACCTCTGAATATCCTTGTACAGGGAAAATATTTCCTGTTTTATGCAGGACTAGCTCCTTTTTTTAGCATATCTTCCATGCTTGTATTGGTTTTAGTTTCTCTTACTTTAAGGATAATCCATTGAGATTATTAATGAATTATGGTAAGAAAATGGCAAATGTTTATAAATCACCTTTAGAATCACACGTGGCAGCCATTGGGGAAATGATCTTGCAAAATCCGAGAGAATCTAAATTATAATTGTCATCAGTTTACTACCCCTTTGAACTAATTTATTTCCTACGTTGTAACTCGTCATAATCTAGTGTGGGCTATCTCTATCGAGATGCAGATATCGACGTTTTATATTTTCTACAGAAACCAAAGGGAATTTGTGTTTTTATGTTTATACCTTGAAGGAAAGGTCATCAAACTGGCCAATTTTCAAATCCAATTACCCAAAAGAGAATGACAAAAATCCAATTGTTACAGGAATTCCTCCCGTTCCTTATGTAATCGCCCTGACTTATAAATTATAATATGACATTAGACAAAGGCAGTTGCTTAGCATGCAACACGTGTTGGGAAAATAAATCTCAGCCAATCAGCCATAATCCCAGCAAAAATCAAGCGTATCTTTGAAATAAATCTTCCGTATACACTCCGACAATATAATGAATATATTACGTGGTCAAGGACCAATTTCTTTCATTCTAAGATTTATCGCTTGTGGAGATACATTAGAAGATCCAGAATGTTTCATTATATAATTCTAATCATTCTCACTCTCGTTATATATTTCAAGTTTTTAAAAAAATCTCCACGACACATTTTGGTTGATAGCAATAAATGTGTGTTCATTACTGGCTGTGATTCTGGTTTTGGTCTAAACGCTGCGAAACAACTCGATTCCATCGGGTTTACAGTCATTGCGACGTGTTTAACTGACAAGGGAGAGCAGATACTCCGCGAAAGTTGTAGCAAGAATTTACATGTTATAAAGATGGATGTCACTGACACGAAGCAAGTTCAAGCTGCTTTTGACTATGTTAAAAACACAATGAAATCAGAGAAAGGTAATATGGTACATATGCGTCTCATAGAAAATATACCTTTCGGAAATTTAGCGTGATACAATACTTAGCTTAACTTATACTTAACTAACAATACTTAGGGCCTGTTTATATGATCCCGTCTAGTCGGGACGGGATGTTTTCATCCCGCTTAATTAGCCGGGAAAATCGCCTAGGCGGGATGGCGTGTTTATATGGACCCCATTATGTAGTTCGACGTCGACAGGTTCGTTCGACGGCATGTTTTATTGTAGAAAACGAATATCATATGCCAATATATACACATGCTCCAAATGTATGTTTATCGCAATCATCCCGGCCAAGCGGGATGGAGTGTTTATATGGCAATTTCTCGTCCCGTCTAAGCAAACCGTGGTCTAAGCGGGATACCTGTGACACCGGACCCGGAAAGTGGTCATATAAACACTAATTATAGTATGACTGGTTATATTGGTATGATAAACTGAACTTTATATAATAGCTTAAAAGTAGCTAAAACTGAATTTATGTTGATGAGCTCTTCCAAATGATAAAGAATGCCTCGTATGTTCGACCAAATATTTTAATTGAGGACAAACAAATCCAACAGGTGTAAACAAAGCCAAAACTCTAGGAATAATCCCAGCTCTAGGTCGTGTCAAATCATTTATTGCTGAGAGAGATGCACTTATGTCCATATACAATGCCATTGTTCATCCCTACTTAGAAGTTTGGATATATTTGGTGACATGCAATCAAAACAATTACAAAAGCTCCAAAACAGAACTGCTTGAATTATTTGAAATATGAGCAATGTTGTACATCAGTCTATTGCTTTGTGTGCCTTGGGCTGGGAGCAATTTCATATGATGAGGAAAAAGGCAAATACAAAAATGATGTACAAAACTTTAAATAAAATGGGGTTTTAGTCTCTGACAAACCTCTTTCATTATTGTAATTTCTTCTTATGACATGACCCCTATTGAAATCAGCTTTGTTTGATAAGGTTAGAATGTGAAAATGCAAGGTATAATATATGTCACTCATACCCTATTTATATTCAACCATTCACTATTTATATTTGTGAACTTAAAATGTAGCTTTGCTAGGGCATTAGTAAGAGAATATAGAAAACACTCACAAAAAGCAAAAAAGAGGGTTAATTAATTTACAACTGTGTTTTCATTAATTGTGACTTGGTTATCTTATCCAGTGTTTTAAGTGGGGTCTAATATATTTTTTTTCAAGGTCTATGGGCGGTGATCAACAATGCTGGTGTTTCTAGAATTGGACCTCTGGATTGGCAGACACTGGATGACATGAAGAACATGGCTGACATAAATTTGTGGGGATTAATTGATGTCACTAAAACATTTCTGCCACTTTTAAAAATCTCTGCTGGACGTCTAGTGAACATTGGAAGCATTGGAGGTAAGATCAACATTTATTGTGATTTACATTCTACACAAATGTATCTTGTTTTCCACAAATAAATACCTCTTATGTATTTAGGTCGTCTAAGCCTTCCTTACATGGGTGCATATTGTGCAAGTAAATTTGCAGTTGAAGCATTTACAGATGCATTGCGTGTTGAGTTGTGCCACTGGGGGATGAAGATTATTCTCATCGAACCTGGGTTCTTTAAAACTAACATGACGGAAAAGGATACATTAGGTTCTCAATATGATCAAATGTGGTCAAAATTGTCTCAAATTAAGAAACTGGAATATGGAGAGGAGTTCCTTCAGAAAAGTAAGTAGTACATACTACTCAAGCTATCTGCTGAAAACCTTCAACTCAGGAATGGTGGGTCAGGGACGTAGCCTGACCTTAAAGAGGAGGGGAGCCGTGAGGCTAGAGTTTCAGCTCGTCTAACGGGCCGAAAGTATTTTTCAATTACATGGAAAGTTTCTGTTCAGGCTGAGTTTATAACATGTCTGTTTAGCTTAAAGGGTGGATAAGTCAAATTTAAAAACCACTCTTACATCTCTCTTAAATGAGTCAACTTAAATATTATGCACTGAATATGTAGTTGTAAACAGTATCCTTGTATTAAGGTTAAAAACATTTAGTTTACTTCTTGAATAAAATGAAAGACTTGCTTTCTATTTTGAACCTAACTAAATTAATAAAACAACTCCCCCCCTGGCTAAGTCCATGTGGTGGGTTATGGTAATCTATTCTGCCCTTTACAAGTCAGAAAATTGCTTTAACTAAATTTTCTGTAGTTAGTCAACTCTTTTTATCACTAATTTCTAACGGATTCAAAATTTAAGGTTGTATGTATGTTTTAGAAAGACGGTCTATGTTGCATCATCTGTGCTCCACACCTCTGCAAAACATAGAAAAACACATTTCTATCCGCTAATCCGCCCGCGTCCGTTGACATGCAGAGTCTTATTATTGTATCATATTTTTAGCCAAAGACAATATGTTATCTGGGGTCGTCGACACCTGTGTATCTCCCAATGTCTTTGTGGTCACTGAGGCAGTTGTAGATGCTGTTACATCATTGAATCCTAGGATTCGCTACGTGCTTGGTTGGGATGCGCGTTTCATTTGGTTGTGGCTTTCAAGATTGCCGTCTGGTATTTCAGATTTCTTAAAGCGCCATGTATCAAAAATTGAAATTCCTGCCAAGCTAAGAGGATCGAATTAGGACATAAAATATATAAGCAGATTATTTCCAATGCAGGGACCGAGTGATAACAAGTTAAATATTTTCTCTCGTAGTTGGCCATGGTGATGCCTATTAAATCACGGTTGCTTTGTAATCTTACATATTATAAACATTTTACTGATTTTAGATTATTAGAAATGTAGGATTTCATGGGGTTAGCTGAAACTGTCACTGAAACTGTCACTGAGGCATGAAGTATAGTTTAATTCAAGCTTTCCTGGTAGGATTTTTGAATCATATTATATACAAACACACATTGCTCCTTTTTCTGACCTTTTTTCTTTCATCCTCTCGCTAACCATGAAAGCAATTAAATCATTCAAATTTCCGTCCCTTTGTATGGTAATGTGAAGGTTGGTTTCGTCGTAATTCTGTAGAAGTCGGGCTTTCCGAATGCGCCATACGACGACTAATTACAAAGTATGCAAACCAGGTTTTTAAAGTTCGTAAGAAAAAACTGAATATTGAAGTTTCGTTTACTATAATTCCTTATAGTTTTATATTACTTATATATATGAGTAAATACTCTTCAAACGAAGTATTAAAAATTGCACGTATATATATTATACATGCATGCAGCACTATGTATCTCTAAAATATTCCATGACCACACTTATTACTAATAACTAAGTATATACTATTAGTAAAAACAGTTATCCGAAATTACACACGTCAAAACTTAAGCTATACTTGTAGTAAGTTCCGATACATAACACATAAATTTGAAAAACCTAAAAGTATACTGCATGAAGTCGAGGAAAATCTTGTTATGCGGAACAAGCTGAGATCGCATTATTGCACTGATAATCAGCCTGGACCTTAAATAACTTGTAGTTTGTAGTACATATGCACAGTCGATATCTCATGCCAGAGTAACCATTGCTGGGTTTTACACTTCCAGGAACGTTCTTGAAGGTATATTTTGAAGATACAGGGTTAAACGTCAACACGTCCTAATGAAGAGAAAATATCTAAGTCTAAGAAACTAATCAAAACTATAAACAATAATGTTTGGGTTGGGGTGGTCTTGTAACAAGGTGGGCCTTTCAAAAGTAACTGTGTGCGACAGGAGACGACGTTTTGAAAACATAGGACACCATACACCATATTATTTTCAAATGAATAATTAGATATTTTGCATAATCATATCTGAATCGATTTGTTGAACTTAATTGGGAAACATCCTTATTTTGAACGACTAGTCCTTGCGACTATCGCATTTTAACAAACGTACCAAACAATTTGAATTATATATAGATGATCATACATGCGGAAATATGGAATATATTTCGAGTGTTGAGAATAATATCGAACAAGTTAGCGCATCTGTTTATTATATAATAAAAAACTGGGTTTTTTTGAAAATTTTTATCCCCCTTCCTGATTCCAGATCGGTGGATCAAAAACGATAATCGCACATGAAATTGTGTTATTATCATGAAAAATCGCACATTAAACTTCACAATCGTCGTTATTCATTCAAAGCTTTTTTACGGCGGTTGAAAAAGCCACTATCCAGTGGCAGTGGATAACTTTATCCACCCTTCGAACAATTGTTGGAAAGGAGTTTAGCTTAAACGATGGATAAGTTAAAATGGAAAACAGTGGAAGTACAATTAAACGCATAAGATGCAAGTTCAGCAATACACAAGATCAATTAGAGTATTTTTAAATTTTGGCTCATCCACCGTTTAAACAATAAATGTGGACAAGGTAAAAATGAAAATAACAATCAAGTAGACCAGGTATTAGCAAAAATCACTTACATCTTTTTCATCTCCAACTTTGAGCTCGATACGCTTGTCTGCTTTCAAATTTAACTCTTTCGAATCTATAAAAACATTTTCATTTCCTCGTATAGTTAAAGTTTCTGCAGCGTCGATATTCAAGTCTTTACCATCGTCACTAGTGATCTATAAAAAAAATAGACATAGTTGTGTTCACTCACTATATGTATATAGTTATTTAAACAACCAAACTGAAAATATCAACTAATATTGCATACATGGGTTAAGTTTGGTACCCACATCCATCAAGCATTGTCTTATTGTTCAAAATTGGCCCAATTGGTAAAGAATAGTATTTTTTTATTACCCTGTGTGAAACAACGTTAGTTGTATCCAAATTGACAGCTTTAGCAGGTACATCCCAGACAACTTTTCGTTCAGCTATATGAAGTATCGTCTTGTTAATCTCAGAGGAGACAATTCGTACACCATTCTTCGCTTTGAGTAAAGTTCCATTAGTTCCAACGTAAGCTTCAAAATTATAAAATATTAAATTATATAAAATTTGAAGGATATATGACAAACACGCGACAAGACAACTGGCCTCAGACAGAGAGCTATACATGATTGTGTGTGTAGCTATTTTATCGGATAAAACAGACATATGAATTAGGGCGCTTTCTGATATGAATTGTTAAAGTTTATTGAAAGAAATACGTTGCCGACAAGCTCGAATGCCAGAAGAGTAGAACTGAAGTGAAAAAGAAACTGAACTGACAAATCTTTACTGCCTGAGAAATGTGAAAGCGTTTTCGAACTGTTCTCAGAGTGGTTTGTTGTGAATTCAGTAGCGTCTGTTATTCGTTTACGTATATATATATACTTCGGCAAAGACCATTTTTACAGACTGTAAACTCGACTAGAGATATACCATCAATGGTTGTGTATTTTGCGTTGTATATATATATATATATATATATATATATATGTGTACTATGATCACTATGTAGACATGTAGTGTCGGTGGGTGGATCAGAAGACATACATTGGTATGTCTGTGAAAGAAATAACGATAATTGTTAAAAAACTCGAATCCAAACGTTGGTCTGTTATAAAATTTTTGGAGGGATTAGAAATTGGACAAAGAGGACATATATAGAGAAGAAATGTATGTATATAAGACAATACTTGCAAAGATCAAGTTTATGATGAAAATGACTTTACAGTCCTGAGAAAATTGTTAAATAACTTAAACGTTTTTTATATCATACAATATTTGACAACATTGACAATCTGACAACACAGCAATTCAAAAAAGGTTACTGTAGTGCCTAGATGTAAATTATCAACAAATAAAGGATAGAAGAATTACGGCATGGCTAGAAATTTTATGAAACTTACCAGAGCTTCCTTTTGTTCCAGGAATATTATTAACAAATTTCACCTGGAAGTAATTTACATAAAGATAATATATAGATGTATCTTAACTTTATACCTATGCACATGATCCATTCACATTAATTTGTGTCGTACATCGGTAGTGGTCAATAAAAAATATGACTTACCCCAGCATTATTGCCTCTGATATTTAGATTTTTGTCTTTAAAAGCTCCAATTTCACCTGTTTTCAACACAACTTGCTGCAAGTCCCCTCCATACATCCAGCGAACTAAGCCGGATTTGAATAGAGATAAACTCTCCATTCCAGATTTATCAATACGCAAAACACTCAGCATAATGCACAACATCTGTCAGAAAACAAACATGAAATTCCTTTATACAATCATGATATTACTCAGTTTGGACTTTGTTCAAACATTTTATCTCTGTGAATGTGGTGTTTAAACAGGTAACAATAATATACTTCAAATTATATGTAGCAGGTTTCATCTGTAGATCCTGAAACACTCTATTAAAACACCAGTAATCTGTGTGTGCTGTGATACAATAGGACTGGTCTGGCCATTTTTTCTGCATAAGGAAAGTGCCTCATATTTACTTTCAAAAATACAACTTATATCTGTTATGTTCTCTATCTGAAATTCTATTTTGTAAAAACATTCCAGTTTAAATTTTAGGTATGTATTGAAATGATAAAGAAGGTAATGATCAACACTTGTTCTATTTTATTAACCTTCTCAGGTATTTAGTATTTGATAATATACTAGCCTTACTTCAGCTAATATTTTTTCAAACTTGAAAATAAAATGAGGCTTATAAGCCAATAATGGCATCCTAGAAACATATCATTCAATATAGTTCATTATGATTTTTTTGCTATTTTTTGTGTTGGCTATGTAGCACATGGTATGGTGGTATACAATTTTTTATAGTAACTGTGTGGATGTGAAGAGCAGCTCAGTGTTGCTTGTGAAGTAAAGAACTTACCACAAGATTAATAAAACAAAGTATACCCAATAGATATAAAAATGCATAATAAAGATATCTTTTTCTTCCCCGAATACCAGTTCTATGTAAATGTCTTTCATGTATTGGTATTCTCCCAGCTTTAAAATTACTTTCATGTTCTCTTTCAACAGCCTTTTTTTCTTTTAGTTTTTGCCACATTCCTTTACGTTTTCGGCTTGAATTATCACTCGACTAAAAAAACAATGAAACATAAATGAGGGGCAAGTGCCCGAACAGTGCTGCTGTTATATGTAGACATGACAATTCAGTTTGATAACCTATAGCCAGATATCTTCTTTCTTCAATGAGATCACAAAATTCTTGTTGAACAACTAAGCTTGCAAAACATTATAAAATTGTCTAGGGTGTACGAGTTTAGAAAAACAGGCACTAAGTAATGCTATGGAAATTATTTATGAAAATCCATTAATGTTTTCTGTGATCGACATATTTATTGTAATTAGTAGGATCAATATAATAGAAAAAAGACAACATTTTAATCTTTTCTTAAAATAGGAAGCGCAATATTTTAACTGAGTATCTACAATACTGCAAATGAAAAGAATATGGTCACTATTAATCAGGACAAACGGAAATGTACAACATAATAGCAAAATTTGACACATTTACGTTTTAATTGCAACAACTTGAAAATGGAATAGCAGCGATAACTAGCTACAGTGGATACTAGTTACATTGTGGAAACATAAATTACTACAATCAACAACAGAATAAAATGTAGAAAAAATGCAGTAGATAAACAGTAAACCAGTGAAGCACATTAATGACGTTCACGAAACATTTCAGACATTTGGGCAATGGAAATAACTGTTTTCATAGTTGTTCTGTTTATATCATTCTACTCTATATGTTATTAGGTTACGGACTCTTACAAGAATATCGAACGTGATTGTTATATCAATACTGTGAATTAGTCAGGACAAAGTCTGTATGATAAATTCCCTGGCATTAAACGATACCAGTATGAAATCATAGGGACGATCAATTCGATCAATCAGGCATGCAATTTCCTAGCATTCATTAAAACATTTTAAAAGCATCACATACCATCTTTACTCTGTTCTTTAAAACGAAAGTAGTTTAGGAAAAAATGACCATATACGTTCACTCACTCCTCAAGATCAAAACAACATGTATGCTTTACTTGATGGTGATATTTTCTTTATATATGTGGCCGCCCAGATATCATAAACAATACACTGAAACAATATCATAATACATCCTGACAGCCTGCATTTACCCAGTTTAAACCAAATACCTTAAAATCAGGTTTGTTTTGATGACGTGCATGCTGGGATACCTGGGAACGGGTAACGAGCAGTAACGAGGGAAACGTTGACATGGCGCAGGTTTCCTGCATCGAAGACGATAAATTCTTGTCATTTTTCAATGTTTTTCAATTATTTTGACAAGGATTTAGATTGGATATTAAAGTCTTATTCATGATATGCTTCATTCTTGCAAGGAAAACATTCAGCATGATGTCACGGTGGCACCTTTGCGCACATCCAGATACAGTTGATGTAACCTGAATAAATGATTCGTTGTAGGAAAACTACGTTCATTGTAGATTACATATTTTAACTACAAGAGCAAAATGTTGAATTGTATCAATATGATATTACAAAAGAATTTATTGCTATGAATAAATACGACGTTCTTGGCATCGTTGGAGAAGGTATTAAAGAAGTTGTCAAATTGTAATTGTATTAACTATTAAAGTCTCAAATCTGTTATAATTAGCTGATGAATTTATTAATCGTGTATGTTCTGAGACTACGTTGGTTTTTTTTATAAAGGTGCATATGGTGTCGTAATGAAATGTAGAAATAAGGTATGACCATTAGTATGAGAAGAATTTTTAATAGCGTTGTATAATTTTGTAGTTTAGTACCTTAATATATTTTAATATAATTTTGGATTGTTAGAGTAATGAGTAATTGGAGTGTTAGATTTGTTGAATTATTGGATATACATGTATAAATTAAGTGTTATAATAGGTATAATCCTGACTTGACTTGAAGTTGAGTTTACGGCTGCACATTTGTATATTGAGTGTTTTTATAATGAAATATACACTATTTGTAATATAGGAAACAAATGAAGTTGTTGCTATTAAGAAATTCAAAGACAGTGAAGGTAAACTAAGCATTAATTGAGCTTGCTTTTGTAAGTGCATACCATATATATCTCTGACTTTTGCTAAGCTCCTTTTAATGCCACACCTAAAAATTTCTAATATAGACAATGCAGATGTAAAGAGAACTACAATGAGAGAACTAAGGGTTTTAAAAATGTTGAAACAAGAAAATATTGTGCAACTTAGGTAAGTTAATTAATGGTTGCATTTACAGAACTCCAAACAACAAAAAGGTATAAAATTTACATGTAAACTCTTTGTGAATTAATGATACATATAATGAAAAGTGTATTTGGAATTGTAATTTTGAAAGTCAACTATAAAAAGTGGCAAATATTTCAATAGTTTTCACTTATAAAGTGTGAATTGATCCTAGGACTTTAACTAGCATGTTAGTTGCAGTAGAGATGCAAATTCATATGTTCATGCAATATTGCCTATTGAATTTCTTCTATTGAAAGTATAAAAGAAAATGCAAAAGAAATATAACTGTTAGGAGAACAAACATATATGAAGTGGATCCAAGGGTGTGCAGAGTAAATTAATTTTTTGAGCTTAAAATTGAAATCGCATTGGCAGAATTTAATGTAAAAATATTCTTTTCAAATCTATAACCAATAGTGTTGCAATGTAGTTTGCGTTGTAATTTGAATTTAGAATTAAGCTGTGTAATTTATTCTGCACACCCATAGATCCTCCACTATATCATTGCATCTATGTAGTTACTGCATGCATAGTACACACCATATGAAAACTGCATAGTTCTATTAAATAATTTGTTTTTGGTTTAATAGAGAAGCATTCCGAAGAAGAGGAAAATTGTACCTGGTTTTTGAATATGTTGAAAAGGTAAAATTCACCAATTAATTACCCATGCAATTATTGATTTTTTTCAAAATTTTCCATATTTGTTGATTACCAAAAAGATTACTTAGATGCAATCAAAAGATTATACTTGTAAATCAATATTGATCAAAATCAAATAGTATTACTAGTCATATATATATATAAATGTAAGCAGCATTACAGCTGGTATGTGTGAATAAATCTTTTTATGGTACACTTCAGCCAGGTTTATTTCGGTTTATAATCTTACTTTACCTGACAGAACATGCTGGAATTACTTGATGAGATGCCAAATGGTGTCCCAGTGACTAGGTTAAGGTAATGTTATTTATTTATTTCTGATTAATTGTACTATAGTGGCATGTCCCACCATCACAGAGGTACACCTGAAATCTTGATTTAATTCAGAATAAATATATGTATGATTACCTCAGCAAAAAAATCCCGAGAAATTTCACCACTGACCCAAGTATGATATATGTGGACTGTGTATTATATATTTCTAGAGGACATATATTTCAACTCATTAAAGCTATACATTGGTGTCATCAAAATAATGTTATACATAGAGGTAAGTAAGACAGGTATATATACATGCATAACAACAGCTGAGCATGTAGAGCTATTAATTTGTATTACTCTTAATTTAGATATAAAACCTGAGAATTTGTTAATCAGCAAAGATGACTCACTAAAATTATGTGATTTTGGTTAGTAGAATAAAAACTATGAAAATATCTCTAGATTTTAGATCTAGATTTTTTTTGTCCATTTTTCACAACATAATATTTGTGATTTAGGCTTTGCTCGTGCAATGTCATCCAATTCATCAGCTCCATTCACAGATTATGTTGCAACTCGCTGGTATAGGTCTCCAGAGTTATTGCTTGGGTAAATCTTCTAGATCAATATCTGTATTGGCCCAACGTTCGTTAGCTCAAATTAAACTAGTGGAAATTTTGCTATGATATCACCATGCATGCAAACTGTTTGATTTGATTGTTTACAACAAACACCTTAGGCCTGTTTCAGACATCGAAGTTTTCATCTAATGTTAAGGAGTCTTTGTGTTCTTTGCATTTGATTCCGCACATGAAAAGTTCGACGTCTGAAACGGGCCTTATTTTAATTATTACGTTTGTCCTTTTTAGGGGTTCTTATGGTAAGCCAGTGGACATCTGGGCAATAGGTTGCATTCTGGGTGAATTGGCCGATGGTCAGGTATAATTGTGAACTTACATATCCTAAGACTGTGAATTACTATAGTTTCTATAACGCATTCTCTTCATTCTTTTCACGCGTTCTACTTCGTTTTTATCTTAGCCTGTATTTCCTGGTGAAAGTGAAATTGACCAGCTTTACACGATACAAAAGGTGAGAACGATTCACGTGAACTGCTCTATGTATTTTAGAAACGTCTATTATATATTATATGTAGAGCTCTAGTTTTCCGCCGAAAATGCTTCTTGACCGGTTAACTTTTTCCCTTTCTGGACATTTTGACCGTTCAAATTTCATTCGCATTTGATTTCATTAACTGATTACCTTGAAATAAATCTCTTGCAGAACACTAGACACTAACATACACAAAGTCAAAAAAGAATCCGGGTGTATTGGTTCTTGATTTTGTCATGTTGTCTTGTTGATTTTTGAAAATTGTGTGAATTAGTGACTGGACAAATACCGATTTTGACCGAGCTAAAATGAGCGGTCTCTTTGATCGGAGATATCTCGGCCGTCTGTGCATATTTACAGAATTAGCTCAAGCTGAATTTGAGCATCAACCAACAATGCCCAATGATGTTTCTGTCCACAAAACAGTCTGCAGCAATGTTTCCTGGTTTCGATGTTCTGAAGAAGATGCATTCTTATATATATACATGCAGCTTATATATTTTTTGACATTTCTAAGGTTCTGGGACCTCTTCCTCCAGATCAAATGGAAATGTTTCGTAATAACCCTCGCTTTAAGGGACTAAAGGTTTGTATCATTATTACTTAGTTAATTACTATTGTTAATGGCCATTCATAATCGACACATTGTCATATCGAATTCCAATTTTCTAATTTGTAACAGTTTCCTGATGTGTCGAGACCTCAGACTCTGTTTAAGAGATACAATGGCATCCTAAATTCGAATCTTCTTCAATTTTTGACGGTAAATTTCTATATAATACGTCATTAACAATATCATACAGTATGTAGCTGTACCAGCCTGACTTTCAACATCATGCGTTTTTGGTGTTCATTAGTTTCGTTTGTATCCGCAAATATTCTGTCGCGGATTCATAGAAGTTTACACGTCCACATAGTCCGCCCGTTTCCGTCCGGATTCGTTTTTGGCGTTCACACGGTACAGTACACCTGCACCCATACGAATAGCCAAGGATCATTGATACAGAGGACCCGCGATGAAGTTGCTTGTAAATGTCTAGAGCCCTTTTTATGGACATAGATGATCATTGTGTTAAGTGCCATGCAGTGGGAAAATTGCATGCATGCATATAGCAATTATAGGTTTAATGATATAGTTCCAGTAATCAACCCTGTTTGGAAAGATTCAAAATAAAAATATTTTCTATTCCTTTTATGATCGTTTTAGCAAGCCTTACAATTAACTCCTCAGCAAAGACCAAATATTGCTGAATGTATGCAGCACAAAGCATTTACAAATGAAACAAACTGTGACGAGGACTTGACGCAACAATCCAATGGAAAATGTGGAATATCAACTGATCTTGCTTCGGACACTTCTGAACGCCAGGAACAAGGGACTATAAACGAGAATCTTGAGATTTCAGACGTAGCAGATGACACAAAACCTATCAAAGAAAGTTTTCATAGTACTACAGAACCTCAGGAATTGTTGTTAAAAAGCACGATATCTGAGCCGCAACTGAAATTAGATTTCTCATTGTTGAATAAGAATGAACTAAAAATGAAACCACCTGAACCAAGAGAACTATCAAAATATCATGTTTCTAGTTCATTGGGAAATGAATGGAATTTTTCAGATGGAAAACCATTCATAGTAAGCTATATTGACGTGTCTTTAATATACATATATTGTAGCTAACTATATATACTCTGACAGTTCGTATTGGTCCACCAGAAGATGGAGTGCCTATATATCATATCTCAATTTTTGTCGTCGAAGATACAATGATGTTTATTTGGTGTGCGCTGGTCTGCCGTTTTCATACAACGCACTGGCCTTCCATATATGTAACACATGTTTTCTAGAAAGCAACTTCTTATGTTTTTTGCCCATATTAGCCGACTGGCAGCGGACGAGTTAAAGAAATGCAAGTCAAAAATACGTGAAAAGACAAGAGCAGTAAAAGTTGAATCTAGATGCTCCCAAAGTAGAGGTAAATATTCTTAAACTGTAGCTACACACTGTACTTTGCGTAGTGCATAATATGTGCCAAAACAAAATATTTCGAATGTTTCGTTTTGGTTCAGTGTGTTCGTTGATGATCTATATTCAACATCTGTTATCATCCATCTAGTCCATTATTCCAGATGAAAGCAGTAATACTTTGGAACGTGGAATCAGACAGGGAGAGGTCGCTGAGAATTGTAAGTTGTTTTTTTGTGGACGCCAATTCTGAAATTATTATATTTGTAAGATTTTGAAAAAGGGAAAATTAAGAAGAGGTGACAACAAGTATGTTTGCCAAAGGCTGTCGTAATTTTGTTCCTAACAAAATGGCCCAACCGGCTCATCGCTGGCCCAAAAAGAACTGTGAAACGCGACCAAACAACCATTATATAGAGCTTTGCCCTAACTGCAGAAGTTTATATAATCATAAATTATATGTTGTCATGCCTGCATGTGCTTTGTTGTTGCCTTGCCTGTGTTCATAGTTGAATGTTATAGAAACGCTTATAAGAATTAGCATCACTGGTTGTATTGTATAATATAACGATATAGGATAGAAATACAACCACGCAAACGTCATTGATAAAAGAATCTGTTTTATAGCATGTTGCGACCAAACAATGAAGCCTCCTATCTTCACAGATGGATTGCTTCCAAGCAAGGAATATGGCTTGAAAGAAGGTACCACCATTCATGAACATTTAATATCTCCAAGAGATATGCCAACATCGCCCACTGTTGTACAAGAGAGAAAATCTGATCTTGGCTTGCCAACTTGCCATCCAAGGTTAGTGCTCCTGTTTCGTATCTTCATGTTCGAATAAAATTCCAGGCCTGCCAGCAGGCTGCTATAATTGCAAGATTGCTTTATTCCAAGTACGAAAATGGGGCCCGGATATAGCTGATGTTCTTAGCAATAAACATTTATTGGGTTCATGTTTCCAGGTATAGTTATTATACCAAAGTTTATTATGCTGTTTTTTTTCCTCTTAAGAGAAAAAAAAGAACGAAGAAAAAAGAAGAAAAGATCAAACCAGGTTCTTTTTAATATGACGTAAATGTTTGTGACGAAATTTTTCGGGCGCGCTAATGATCGCAAGTTATATATAGCGTCCAGCCTGCACCAGTGCATCATTTTCGTAGATGCCGGAAACAACCATTGGTATTACATTTCAATTAAGATTACAGTAATCCCATCTGTTTTTTTGTATATCGTGTTTTAGACAGATATTATAGTGGACTCCTCCTAGATCTTCAAGGTTGTAAGATAGGATGTACGGTTGATACGCCATAACTATACGTTTTTTAGTTTCATTTTATATGTTCATATTTAAACTGTTTTTAGGTGTCAGTAAAGGAACAAAACATATATGACTTTCCTACACCAGATATGGCTAGGTATGCTCCTCAATTACTGGAATTTCTACCAAATATCTCGCAATCAGAAATTGAATCCCCACCTGATTTCGCCCAATACTTTACTAATGACGCAGTTTGTAACCTTATCAATTGTGATCGAGACTATATCGATAAAAGCAGCGAATACTAGCCTTTATGTTGATTGAATAGAATTGTAATAGAATGTAGATAACCTGAACTATTTATTTAAGAGAGGGCGTTCGGAGCTAACATACCGTCCCTTATCACGGAGTTAAGTCTTGTCTGTTCAATTGTTTATAGTGATGAAATAAGGCATGAAGTCGGTAGTAAGGAGGATGATTTACCGGTAGGTTCATTTATGGTAGAATTTTAAAACTGGTTTGCAAATAATGTTAAAAGAAAACCAGCATGCATGCATATAATCTCAAATTATATTTCTTTATTTGAAGGCTACTTTTTCTAATTTCTATTCACCTGGATCTCTACACAAGACTCAGCTGAAACCTCTCAATTACACGATAAACAGCATATCACTTCGTGAAACAAGACATCCTAAAGTTCAAAGATCTTTTCAAAAACCATATTTACCACCACCACCTAGTATACCGCGACATTTACTGCGGGCAGACACGCGATACATGATGACTCACACTGATCACGCTGAATTGGTTGAACCTGAACTACAAGGATTAAAACTAAACAATAAACAATCTGCTTTTTTAAAAGAAGGATTACCACAAAGCCCGGGACTGAAACCTCTACAAACACATAAGGACTGGCGGAATCGTCCTGATAGAAGTGGAAATACTGATCTAAGTTCTTTAAAGGAGACACTTCTCTGACAACTCGGATTCTCCTCCCCCTACCCAAAAATGTTATAATTTTTATATAAGTAAGTCCAAACTGAATTTAAATAGTTTTATTAATATATTCTTTTTAATGAATATATATTTATAACAATTTCTAATGATTGTGTTTTTTCAAAAACAAAAATCATTTTTAAAACTTTAGCATGCATATTTCATCGCTATTATCGCTTCTCTGGTTTAAAATAATGAAAGTAACCACACACAAAGATTAAATTAGCAACCCAACGTTTCGATACGACACTCCAGACTTGTCTTCATCAGGAGTGATTTGATGTTGGATCCTTTTATAATTGCGAATTTAATTTGGCAAATAGCTTCCGCCATCGCTATTTAGAGCACAAGAACTCGCATTGATACAAGAATGCCACTAGTACGGCAAAGTCCGCAATTCTCCTACAGCGGGGAATTGATTATTGCTTCTTGTATAGTAGGTAGGGGATACCTACGGAAAAACAGGTGTTTGCGACAACCTTATTTCCTTTTCTCAATGCGGAAAAGCACCGGCCTATTCTACGAGCTAACTTCCTCCTTCATTCATTCATACTACATATTCCCGTAAAATAGTTCACGAAGGTCCTGTTCTATCACTGATGTTTTGAAATAAATGGGTTGAAATTTGCAAGACGGTTGTGAGCTTGAGTTTTGCTTACGTACTTTTGGGGCAACAAGATCCAGTCATGTAAACAACCTTCACGGTACTTTCCAAAGCTTGTCACATGCATGTCCTTACTATAAAGACGTAGGGAAGCGTTCAAACTTTCCATCAGAGAAAGATATATAATTAATCAAATATTTGTTTACAGCAACGGAGTCCTTGTTGTTTTGGGGGCAAGTATAAAGCCGTATAATGCAATAATGTGCACGATGATTGAATGTTTTTTGTTAAAATCAATGATCGATAAAAACCGAAAGCAAATGTGAATACGTTTATGGAAAAAATGATCGTTTTCTAGCGGCAAATGCTGTAGATAGCCTGTTAACTGGAAGTAAATATGCAGGGTAATTAAAAAACCTAGTTGGGAAAGTCCCCATCTCCCCAGGATTGACGATCCCCCAGATTGCACTCTATGATCCTAGGTGACATTGAACTATGACCTCCATAAGATGAAGTACTGCTTGGAAAATGCAGTGTACTCACGTGTAAAAGAAAATTGAAAATCAAAATGTCTTCTCAAATATTCTCTCGTATTTTTCGACCTCTTTCAAGAACTATTTGCTATGGAGTACGTGGAAAGAATATTTATATATTGTCTGGAAAAAGAAATGTTTTACCAAACCAGGCAAACCTTGTGCAAAATGTGAGATCTAAGAGTAGCACTGGAGTATTTGCATCTGACAATGCCCTCATGGTCACAGGATTAAGTTTATTTGGTGGAGTTCTTTTTTACGTATGTTTATATATTATTTGAGTTCATTGGCGTGCTGCAGGAATATGAAAGTTTTTACAGGCAGTAATTAATACGAACTTAAACTTGTATTTTGTTGCTTTACAGGCATTCTATTTTGAAAGATTGGGAAAGATTCCAAAATTAAAAAAACAAAGTTTAGCCAACAAGGTGAGAATTCACAACATTGAACATGAATCATCCAGCTTACATTTTATTATTCGATCAGTGTTGATTACATATGCTTTATTTCTTACCATCTTTGTTGAATAAAACAAATTGACTTTCAATTGATTTTCAAATCAATATCACTGAGTGATCTATATATGTATTTCTCAGTCTACAATGTGGTATATATTGGGTAATCTCAACTTATAATCAAATGCTAATGGCATCACTTTTAATGAAATGAAAAAAAATCTTGTCTCACTAATCACCAAGTGAACCGAAGGGTGATATCCTTTGTTTATGTATGGTACATGTAGAGGGGATTGAATGGAATCATGCCTAGAATTTTTTTGTTTTAAAAGCTATTGTAAACCTGCGAAATTTGCAAAAAACAAATGTTTTTTGTTCATTTTGTGAAAAGGTGTGGGATCCCATCATCCTGACATATGTCATAGAAAATAGCTTGGCCAGGCAATCTAATTGGCTGGTTAAAGTGAACAAAATTCAAAGTCAAAGATGAGCCAATCGGATCACCTATTTTACTGTGACATAGGGTAGGGTGATGGGATCCTGACTGCTTTCAATGAAAAATGGTATTTTTGCAAATTTGTCATTTTCTCAATGGCTACATTGCCAAATTTTTCAGTTTTCACTTCATTTTTTGTTTGATATAGCAAGAGACTGTCCTAGCCGATATTGAAGATGAAGAACAGATAGAGGAAGGTAAACTAAGATGTTTGCTGTTTCACAATACTCAGTATTCATCATTAACACAATCTGCTTGTAAGATATCCTAGTTGGCACTCATCCTGCAGATGAAGAAATTCCTGAACATGTCCCGTTTGTATTAATTGGAGCTGGTACTGCATCATTTGCAGCTTATAGGGCTATTAAGAATGAGAAACCTGATGCCAAGGTAAAACAAAATCTTTTTAGGACTGGAGTCATAATGAACTTAATATGAAGTGCTACCAGAAAAAGCATGCAAGAGATTAGAATATGAGTTTAAAGCAAATGTAGACGTTTCATATTGTTAGTAATTATATAGCTCTTTGTTGGTGAAGGTTTGTCAAATGCAAGGTCATGCATTTACCTTGTCACAGAGATTGCACAAATCAAATATGTGTTTAACATGTGTGAGATTTTCTTTGGTGGCATAATGTCTATATATATTCATAACAGGTTCTTATCATTGGTGAAGAGAAATACACACCCTATATGAGACCCCCATTATCTAAAGAATTATGGTATAGTGAAGATCCTCAGGCTATTAAAACATTGAGATATAAAAATTGGAGTGGGAAGGAAAGAAGGTTAAATTATTTTGTTTAATCAGACCTGTTCAAAGGAAAATTTTGTTTTATATTTGCTGGAAATGTTTTTTTGGTTCTGTAAAATGTATGGCATGTGTATTTGATTGTGTATTTGTTCCATGTTTTTGAATAGTAGAAATATTTAGAACCAGAAGAAAGAGATATAGAGATTAAAGTAGTGCGCAATGTTTATTGCAGATTATTGAATATTATTTCTCAATTTTTTTCAGTCTGTTTTACGAAAATGATGAGTATTATTGTCAACCAAGTGAACTAATGAAAAAAGAAGGTGGAGCTGTGGCTTTATTAAGAAGAACTAAGGTTTGAATTATTTTAACCTAGTTGAAAGAATACTGGTACATAATTTATCAAAGCATTATCATGTTTACAGTGTCTTTTTTCTTTATGCATAAAAAAGAATAAATATTTAATCACAGAATTTATTTACAAATTTCCTTTATTCCTATATAAATGGCTGTTTCTTTACTGTCAAATGAATTTAGATCCACCATGAATATATGATATATCATGACGATTTGACTGCATCATGAGAATAAAGTTCATTTTCAAGACATTAATTAAAATAAACTGATAATTAACTGAAATAATTTTATGATGCAGGTTATTGAGATTAACCCCAGGAATCACAAAATCAAGATACAAAATGGAAAAGAAATAGGATATGACAAACTTCTTTTAGCAACAGGTTTTGACAATAGCTGTGATATTATTGTGTGAGGAAAGATATTTTAAAGCATATGTTTTGTTTTGGTACAATAAATAGTTGTTAGATTCAGATGTACATACACTCAGGAAAAAATAATGAAAGCTTCCTACACATACTGCTTGGCGAAAATAGTGGATAGTTTAGAGCTTCCTAAATTGATATATATCGTGAACTGCTATAGCATCTTTTCATTGCATATTTCATAAAAATTGCTGATAATAACATTTTGAAGGTGGGACAGCTAAGAATCTGAAGGTTTTTGAAGACGCTGACCCTAATGTGAAAAGACGAACTACGCTATATAGATCAGTAAGTATGATGCATGGAATTAAATATAATAGCTAAGAATATATATTTTTTGTACCGTATGAATAATTGCATACTCACAAAATGTTGATCGTTAGTGTAGTTGTGAGAAGCGTTGTCAGTGGTGTTGAATGACGTTATGAGATGACCGCCTTATATAGCAGTAGTCATCTTCAAAGTTGAGAGTCAAGCTTGAGTTTTAGTAAAGTGCTTTTTGAAATTCGTAGTGGTTATACCACCACATCCACTGCACTGATAACATTGGCTTTTTAAAATGTATTTAATAGTGAGATAACAGTGTTGAAAAGATAAAATTACATGATCATGCTGTGGTGAGCGCCACTTACTTGCACCACAAGCACGAACAATACTTCTCAGGAATACGTTAACATATAACTGTACTCTCTGTTCAAACAACTCAGTTTATATAGTCACAAGAGTTCACAACAATGCCCTAGTACAGACGATGTTCAATCTAACTAATAGTTCCGTGAAAAGTGTTGGGTCTAAGAAGCCGGAGGGAACTGTTATTTTAAATAGCAAATTTTTGAGAAGAGCTGAACTTAAAGCAATATGTCGGCCAAAAACAACTTTAACAATAAGCAAGTACCCTTTAGATTGCGAATCTTCAAGCACTGGATAAAGTGACAAATAAAGCGAAATCAATCGCTGTGATTGGTGGAGGATTTCTTGGGAGTGAACTGGCATGTGCTCTAGGACACAGAGGTACTGGCCTTGCCTAAAAATCAACAGTTAGCAATAGAAATTACATTGTAATTACAAATGAGAACTGCTTCTGAAATAGTAGCACGAATCAACATAGTTGTAAACTGGGTTTTAGGCTCCTGAGACTAATTAGGAATCAAGAATTTGGTCATTGTAACTCACGATTTGATCCAATTTAGACCTCGATTTACAATCATTATTAATCACAGTGCGAAGTAAATGGATTTCCAAATTTTGAATTTATCTCAATAAGATTTTACAAATTATATACAAATTTATTTTAAAATGAAATTCTATGGAACTAGGCATAATAAGTATGTAGGCGACTATATAAGCTTATAACGTAACCGAGGTTTGATTGATTGAATTATGATGTTTTGGGGGTTTTTATCTTTCATGTATACAGCA